GTCCTCGGGCTCGCGATTTAAGAGCGATCCATTTTTCTTTTCCTGGCCTCTCTGCAGCTCCTCTCAAATCCAACATGTAATAACCCACAAGTTCGCTTCCACCATTTGAATTAACCGAGAAGCATTGCAACTTCAGATGCGCCCGTTGTGACTGGAGTGCTTGTAAAGTTTTATGATCAACCTCCCATGCGAGCTCTGTATCCCATATTGGAGACGATACTTGTTCTACTTTGTCGGTTGACAAGATGGAATTCGAGTCGGGGCTAATTGTCGAAAGAACATCGTCGGTAAACCTGCACTCGACGTATATTTTCGCGTCGGGATTATGAGTGAAATATCGACCTATCGAGAAGTCAGTGCTTTGAGTTCAGAGAAAGATGTGCTAAAAAATAATTAATGAACTGACCACCAATCACTGTAACAATAATTGTGTGCAAAGGATTAAATTTCGACATGTTGCGAGGAAAAATGTATACGTATTCATTCCTCAATGGAATGGCATATGGTATGCAGTGTCATGAGGTACAAGGTCAATTTTATTAGTCACGCGAGCATGGAATTTACTCGAACGCCACAAACCAGAATCGACGCCCGGCTGAGCCATTCGTAAAAAAAACTGTTCGGGAAATATATGAAGTCACAATAAATATAGGAATCACGGTTTGACAATTTCAGGTGCTTGGGAACTAAACCATTATTGTTTTTTAATAATATATGCATGCGTGGGAGGAACTCTTTTTTTTTTTTTTTTTCAAATATATGCGTGCAGAACGATCGACATTTCATTATATATAAAACATCATTTCTCTCCTGCTTTCTTCTTTATACAATAGGAACGTTTCTCATCTATTACTTCAATCCAATCCTATATTGACAATTAAAATGTCGTCTTTTCTCTTTTCCCGCGCTTTTTCTTCGCGTGCCATTATACGACGTGCCTCGGCTTTTCCCCTTGGTTCTACTGCAGTTCCTGCAGTGAAGGTGCCACCATTTTGTAACCGCGTTGTCCCCACCCTTTCTCGTTCTTATTCTACTGCACCACCAGAAAAGAAGGGTGGAAGCGGAACTTTACTTTTGATTGGAGCAGCCCTTCTTGGTGGAGGTGCTGGTTATTATTTTTATGCCAGTGACAACGCTAAAGTAACCGAGAAAGTCGAGAAGACCGTTAAAAAAGGAGTTGATTATCAATCGGTTTATAATCAAATCGCTGATATTCTCGAAGATAATGATTATGATGATGGATCGTACGGTCCGGTTTTCATTCGTTTGGCATGGCACGCTTCTGGTACATATGATAAAAACACCAACACTGGAGGCAGCGATGGCTCTACAATGCGATTCTCGCCGGAATCTGATCATGCTGCTAATGCTGGACTAAAAGTGGCGAGAGACAAATTGGAGCCTATAAAACAAGCAAATTCCGAGATAACATATGCGGATTTATGGAGTCTAGCTGGTGTCGTCGCAGTTCAAGAATCGGTATAAAATGAAAATACCATTATTATTATTATTATTGTTATTTTACATGCCACGCATTCACTTTACTTCCAATTATCGTACTTATTTTGAACCAATATTAGGGTGGTCCTAATATTCCGTGGATACCTGGCCGGTAACTTTATTAGACGTATTTCACGTTTTATCGATATATGATTTATAATTAGGTATTTGCGCCCTTGTAATTAATCTGCGAATACAGAAAGGACGCTGATAGCTCGGCGGCGTGTACTCCTGATGGTCGTCTCCCCGATGCTTCTAAAGGCTCGAGTCATCTTCGCGATATTTTCTACCGCATGGGATTCAATGACCGGTAAAAACTTCATTATTATTCTCTATAATAAACCAAAATGACGCTTTTCATAAATATTTTGATAAAGCTCAATCAATTAATTTTTCATGTAGAGAAATTGTCGCACTCGCTGGAGCTCATGCTCTCGGCAGGTGTCATAAAGAAAGATCGGGTTATGAAGGTCCTTGGACAACTTCACCTACTTTACTCACCAATGGTTTTTACAAAGAACTTCTGGAAAAAAAATGGGTCGAGAAAAAATGGAAAGGGAATAAACAATATGTTGATAAGGAAACAGGTATTTCACGCACGTATTTCCATGCGTTATGTCCAAAAAAAAACAACGTAATATTTTATTAAGAAAAATTTCTTCCGATGTTAAGGTGAACTTATGATGCTCCCTTCGGACCT